TAAAAACCGACATGTTGTATAAGTTCTGTCATACGTCCTAGGTACTAAAGAGGCATGCATTTATTTTGCATTTAAAAAATATGTTTAAGGGGACCCCCCCATTCTCGGGGTCAAAATTTTTTTATGATTTAATTCGATTCTACACTAATTCAAGAATGTCTCTACAACATTTCAAGTGAAAATCTCAAGAACTCTTGAAGATATAGCCGATTTATTGTGTCAGCATCAAGTGACGGCTAAAGGGCTCAAACTTTAAACGCATTTTTCTCTTTTGCGAATGGCGGGCACGATAACTCAAAAACTAATAACCCAATCGATTCCAAATTTTTACACGTTTCTCTGTGAGTGTATAGTTATCGTATGAACTAGGATAAAGCCAATCGGTGAAGATCTTCCTTATTTTTAACTAGGTTTTTGGTCAAAAATCGACTCTTTCTAACACCGTTGGAAATTCCGATGTTCCAGTGAGGAGTTTTCATGCCCGCCATCAAAAATAAGGACTTTTCTTTAATTACAAAAAACAACAACAAAGCAATAACAATTTTTTTTTTGTAAATTATTTTTCTTCTCTTTTAAATCTTCAAATATATATGTGCAATGTTACAAACCTTAACAAGCATTGGTATTGATTTACCAGCCCATTGAAAATCTTGAGAAATTAAAATCGAGAATGGGTGGGGTTCCCTTAAACAAGTAAAACATTGAAAAAATAATTATTAAAAATCTAAGCCTATAATAGGCCTTGAAATAATATTTATTAAAAATCTACGCCTATATTAATAGTAACTTATGTATATGAATAATTGTATGCGGGAATTCCGCACAAAAAAAGGTTTAACCACCTACCGTTCCACGAATTTTCCCGCAGTTGGTTTTTCTTGGGTTTCTATTTTGGTTCACACTTAAAAATAACAGAAAAAGTAATTTGAATCTGTCAATTTTATTGAAATATATTATCCATTGGTAACGAGCAAAAAAAAATGCCAAACATGAAATCAATTATTATTGTTGTTAAACAGGTGAACAAAAAACATCGGAATTCATTTATTATTGTCAAATAGAAGCCACAAATAACTATTAAAAAGCTAGTTAACAAAATACAATTAAATTGCAATACCGTTTGGCTATAACAAGATATGGGAAACCACACTTTTTTGTTGGTTCGTAAAACCGCGATCATTTTTTTTGGACTAATAAAAACCAACACCGGCATTTCGTTGGAGGGAAACTATCAATGACATATTTATTATTATTTGTACACATGGCGAAGGTTAAAAAATACACACACAGATATGATACTTATTGATGTTTATTTTTTCCTACCTTCAATTAATTCGATGTCACATACATATATGTATCGACGAACATGCATATGTATATGTGTACAGGATTTTCCTTGTTTGGTTTAACCGCAATATTCGACGTATATTTTTTCTGTATTGGCACATTTTTCATAAATAAAAATGAAATATGAAAATCATCTATGTGGAATGATTATTGTTCTCTTTGGAACATAATTTTTATTTGATTACAGACATAGTTTGCGATACTCTTTTTCTCTCACCCTCCCTCCAAACTCCTTCGATCATAATAATAAAATTGCGTTATTCTTCTTACCCTGTCATCAAATGTCTTCTTATTATTTATGTGTATTTGATATGTGAGTGAGTTTGTGTGTGCTGTTGTTCTTATTGTTGTTTTGTTATATTTGTTGCTATTGTTGACAATTTTGTTCTTGTATTATTGTTGTCGTTGCTGTTGTACAACATGATGTATGTCGAACTTTCATAAGAACATCCTAATTTATAAGGTCATGAATTTTCATAAATTGTCAAGTGTATTGACAATTTCCTTCAGATATAAAGAATATTTTGTGCATGAAGGAAAAAAATTGTTGCAATGGCTGTAGTAGACGTTGTTGTTGTTGTTGCAACACAAAAATATATGTCATTGTATGTCATTTGAGTCGTGTAACAGCTGCTGTTGATGCTGCATTTGAATTTGTTTATATGTTATTGAAGGGAATGTAAACGAATTGAGTCATATTTTATACATTGATTAATTTTAAATATGAAATAATATTTTTTTAAAAAATCTGCAAGTTACAAGATAGATCTTGGAAAAAGTATAACCATGGACATGTTCTACGTTATGGTATATGAGCCTGAGAATCAATTACTATATGATATTGAGCTACTTCATCCCTTTTCCCTTCACTTCCCAAAACATCCTCGTATAAAATTAAAAAAAAAATATTTCACTTGTCAAGATTTTTTGTTAACAAAAAAATGTGCATTTTTCGTATTCTCCGTTTGTTTTTATACCCTTCACACACTGTGGTACAGGGTATTATGTCTTTGTGCATATGTTTGTAACAATCAAAAGGAAACGAGATAGACACATGGCTCCTTTTGAGAATATGCATAGAATCACTTTCTAAGTCGATTTATGCATGTCCGTCCGTCCGTATGTCTGTCTGTCTGTGCATGTTAAATTGTAAACAAAGTACAGGTCGCATTTATGATCCGAATTGGATGAAATTTGGCATATGTCACTTATTCGGCCCAAGGACGAACCCTATTGAAATTGGGAAAAATCGGTTCAGATTTAGATATAGCTCCCATATATATATTTAACCGATTTAATGTAAACGGTCCCTATATATCTTTCGATTTGCACGAAATTTGGTACAGCCTAATCATTTAGGTCTAGAATGATGTCTGTCTGTTTCGTGAAAATTGGTTCAGATTAAGATATAGCTCCCATATATAGTTTCGTCCGATTTCATGTAAATGGTACCCCAAAGTCCCTATATATCTTTCGATTTGCACGGAATTCGGCATAACGTACTGAATTAAGCCTAGAGTGATGTTTGCCAAGTTTCGTGAAAATCGGTCAAGATTTAGATATTGCTCACATATATAGTTTCGTCCGATTTCATGTAAATGGTGCACCAAAGTCCCTATATATCTTTCGATTTGCACGAAATTTGGCATAACGTACTGAATTGAGCCTAGAGTGATGTCTGCCAAGTTTCGAGAAAATCGGTCCTAATTTAGATATAGCTCCCATATATAGTTTCGTTCGATTTTATGTAAATGGTGCACCAAAATCCCTATATATCTTTCGATTTGCACGAAATTCGGCATAACGTACTGACTTGAGCCTAGAATGATGTCTGCCAAGTTTCGAGAAAATCGGTCCAGATTTAGATATACTCCCATATATAGTTTCGTCCGATTTTATGTAAATGGTGCACCAAAGTCCCTATATATCCTTCGATTTGCACTAAATTTGGCACAACGTACTGAATTGAGCCTAGAGTGATGTCTGCCTTGTTTCGTGAAAATCGGCCTAGATTTAGATGTAGCTCCCTCTTATTATAGATTGATTTTAAGTAATTGACGCACCAAGGAACCAATAGGAACAAAACGTTCTGAAATTAGTATAACCTAACCTGTGACAAGTTTGTTTGAAATCACTTAATATTTGGATAAAGCTTCCATATATATTTTCGCCCGATTTCAAGTAAATTGGGCATCAAACTGCTCATGTTAGTCAGATTGACATCAAATTTTGCACAACTTACAAAATTGAGCATAGAATTACGTAGTTGCGTTTTCTAGAAGTACAGACATAGCCCAACGGATGACCTATTTATATTTGTTTGAAGTCGATTTACATACTTTTGTCCCATTGTAATAAACGAATGACATGTTTATGGATAGATCTAGGTAGATTCACATTTAGATAAATATCACATATTTTATTTCATCCAATTTTATGTTAATAGTCCTGTTTAATATACCCATAGTGGTGAAGGGTATCATATAGTCGGCCCCGTCCGACTTTACTACTTTCCTTACTGGTTACTACTGTTTTGTTTCACTTTGTAGGTGATGATGTGTAAAAGAGAATGTCAATTGCATTTCTTTCGAAAAATTCACACACATACACACTCATACTCAAAATAATACATTCTCTTTTGAAGTGCAACAGATTCCTTCGTAACACATAAAACGGGTCAAGTGGAATTACATTGTTTTTGTGCCAACAACGGAGAATATTTAAGTAGGAAAAATGATTTTGAAGCTATTCACAAAAAATCAGTAGGGGAAACGATGTGTAGGAAAATTGAATATATATTGGAATGTGCCATGGAGGGGAGAGGATTTTTTGCTTTTACGAATATATAAATTTCAGGGGAAAATACGTTTACTTTATTATACTGGTCCGATTCTTATGAAGCTTCATGCAAGATGGAAATTTTTTTGGTGTGGGAGAAATATTTCCACATTTTTATTTCTTTTTTTTTTCAAATTCACGCCCACCCCAATATATGTGCGCAATTTTTTTAGGGCAATATTGCTATCTTTTCCCAAAGACAGCTCTCAAAATTTTGCTGTTCGGAAAATGAAAAAAAAAACACAAACCAAAACAAGAGCACAATGAAAATTAACGATGATTGATCGAGTAATCGTTGGATTGATGGCTCTATTAAAACGTTTGATGTTGTTGCCGGCGTTTAGCCAAATGGATAGAAGGATTTGTTGAGATAGAGAATTTTTTGCTTGTTCGAAAAAAAAACAAATGTTTCTCTCTGTTAGATTGAGTAAAAATTCTTTTGTGTAGATTTATGCTAATTAATTGAAATGATTTGTTACGACAACCCCATTTGGTTTGTTAGTGTGCTAAATTTATGTTGACTGATAAGCTTATAAACACTTACCTACACACAACATTTATTCTTGTTTGCAAAAAATAAAACTAGATACTAGTTCCGATTGACACAGTGGTCAAACATTGTTGTTTGAAGAACATTTTTTTACGTTTACTAAAATTTATGTGAGTTTAATTCTAGCACCGCAATTTATTTTGTATGCCGGGGACTTTTCTTTAATACCTCATTTTTCTCTCATTTTTTGCAAATCTTCTCAAAATCGATTACAACAACTAATTTATTTTACTAATCACTTTAAATTTGCATTCATACATTCATATTACGATTTCAATACAATATTTTGTAATTCTAAAAATGTTGACATTTTCTCCGCCACCTTTCCATTATGTTTCAGACCCTTCAGCCACTCAACATATTCATCGTCGATATCGGATTCAATGGCACCTTTCACCAAACACTGAATATATGTCTTTGAGGGTAAACGTTTGGCTGGAATCTCATCAATTGTCATTGATTCGAAATCACTTTTCGGTTGATCGGTTAATAGATAGGCACGTGATGTTATAACTTTGCCATCAGATTTTAATACAATCGGTACACTTTTTGCCTCATACATGCCCTCGTGAACGCCCTCTTGACTACGCAGATAATGAAGAGAGATAAGGTTGTCGTAAGTACAAGATTAATTATTTAAATTTAAAAAAGTACTCACTGATCGATATCATCGAGATTGGACAAATCAATTTCCCATACAGTACCCCAAACTGTGCGATTCTCATGGGGTACAATTGTGGCTGGAGCACCATCCCAATTTGTGGAGAAATCATTGAAATCAAGACGATAGTTCTAAAAAATAAAATTATTTAATAACACTTTGTAAAAGAAAATGGAGCTAATGATCTAGGCGGAAATTTTCTTTTAGGATGGAAGACCTTAAGATCACCCAAGGGCAATTTCGTTATATTATATATGTATACTATAGGGTCCTCAAAGTCAAGAAAACAATATTCCAATGTTTTCATCGTCATTTTCCACTTTTAACCGATCCTTGCTCAGAAGACTTAATATCTAAAAAATCCACACCTATTACAGTCAGTTTTAAAAAATCAATGTCACGGATTTCCATGCACACTTTATCTAGACCTAAAAAAATATTTGTTAACAACACAAGCCTATTAAAGGCCTCGAAAAAATATATGTAGAAAAAATTGAACAAGATTCAATCAAGAATTTGAGATACTAAAACTGATTTGTGTACCGGTTTAAATTATATGCACCAATTACAGCCAATGTCCATTACTAAAACCCTCCACTTGTCCTCTTCTCGATTTCCTAGAAATTTATTTCCAATTCATTAATCACCATTTCTCATCTTACCTCCAATTTACCGGGACCAATTTTCACAGCCGTTGGATTTTCGATATGTATGCGTTTCGTCAACATATTGCTGCCAAATCCAAAGTAATAGAATTTATCACCATGCACTTCCGGTAAATTTCGTATCTCCTTCATTTTGTCGGCATCTGTGGGTGAACACACTATTGATGCTACACAGAATATCAAAATTATTAGATTTGACTTTAATAATTCCATTGTGTTTTGTTTTTATTTTATTATTATTTTTTATTTTTTTTTTTAATTTGATGTTGTGCGACTATTTTTTTATGCCCCGAGAATGTCTTTACAGTACCAATTGAAAATGATGACTGATGTGAAAGGCTTATTTTTATTTTATTAAAAAAATAATGTAGACAAACTAAAGTGTTGCAGGGGAAGGTATGCCAATGCAAGTAATAGGAATTGTAACACATTTTTTAATTTTTTTTTTAAATCAAACTTAGGCAACTATGACTTTGCAGGGGAAGTATGACAATGTAAAAAATAATATTTTTCAAAATACAATACCTGATAGATATTTTGAAATAATTTATCCAAGTGATCTCCCTGAGCTAAAATAACAAACTGATAACCAAAGATCTGTGCATGCATTTGCAAAGTTACCCACATTTTTTTTTATTATCAGTAGACCAGCTTCAAAACAGCTGGAAACATGTTGTATGTATTATACGGGTTGGTTAAGTTTTGAATTCAATTAAAATTCATTAAAAAATTAACTCAAATGCTAATGAGCACGTTCCCATGTTGTTCGGCAGATAAGGCAGAAATAAAATAATGACGTAGTGGCTTGAAAGACTCCAAACAAAAACAGATTTTTTGCAAAATCGCGTTAATCATCTTTTTTTTTCTTAAAAATATGAACGAGAGTGGTGCGAAATGTATACCAGATTATGTATTGCTTATCGGTACTTATCGGCTTATCGGTAAAATTCTCACTTTTGCCATTAAAGGTTTCGAGATGATTGAACGCAAACAACCCTATGTTTTGCATCGATGTTTATGGTTCCAGCATCATCTCACTTCGAAGTCCAATCGACAACCATTATTTCATATATAATTGAAGAAGTGTCTAATACATGATGGGAAAGAAGGAGCTCTTGGTCTGGAAGTGGGAAACTGCTTTTGAAGATGTAAGCCCTCGCCGAGTATGTTAAGAACCAAAAAACGCATATTCAGAATTTGGGGTTATGTTTTTGAGTTATGGCGGGATTTATTTCGTTTTGTTGGTTAGCCTTTTTATTAATGGAAAAATCACTTTATATTTTGGTTGTCCGATATTGCAGGTTCTTTTTGAGATGACATGACTGCAGTTAAATCGTATGAGGTATATAAAGTTTTCTGAACAACTATTGGGAAAAAGTGGAAAGGGACGAATATCGACTTCTTGTCTTTGGGAACCCTATATAAAATTTTATCAGCGATATTTTTGCAGAATATTTGGAAATCGAAAAAAATCGGTTGGTGATATTTAGTTTACAATTCAAGCAAATAAGAACATAAAAGACGAAGAAGGAATGAAATTTCAAGTGCGAACTTTTCTGCATTCCTCATTCGATTTGCAAGAATAGATGACATAACCAGCAAAAAATTCATCAACTCATAATTCGAGGGTTTTCATCCCCCAAAAGAAATTTTGCACACCCCAAAAACTTGTTGAGACTTCAAAATATATTTGAGGCCTTAGTCCAAATTTTATACATTCCACTATAGTATTTAGGTTATTCGTGTTTATTTGTTTGTAAATAATCGAAATATAAACTGTATATATTCTTGATCAGCGTAAAATTCGATGGCGATTTAAAAATGTCCGCCTTTCTGTTGTAATCAATCTAGCCTCTAAACGAATTGGGATAGATCGTCAAAATATAGCATAGCGTTGTCTTTTGTCTGTAGGCTGGTCAAGTTCGAAGATGGGCTATATCGTTTAGGTTGTATATAGTATTATAGTATTATTTTGTAGTCGTAAATAGTAACAAATCTCCCACTCAAAAGATATTAATATTCGCCTCTTTTAGGGGTAGTCCCCATATTATCCTCATTTTCATATTAAAATAGTTAACAGGTTTGTATTTGTCGATTTAGCCATCTGTTGTAATCATTCTACTTTCTAGATAAAAAAAAACTAGAACATCAGGTTTAAAAATGAACTATATTGGCCTCCATATAATGATACATATCGATCTTCGATATTTTTAATGTTTTGAGGCTTTCCTCATATGGGACTATCAGATATGAGAAAAGCCCCAAAATTTCCGATATTTTCGTATGGGGCTCTCATTGGTAATATTGAAGTTGGAAATTTCAAATTTTTTTACTAGTTAAATTAAATTAAATCGACCCCGGACAATAAATAAATAAATAAATGGGAATCATTCCGGAGTAGAGGCAAATTGTTTAAAATATGTTTAAACCGACCACTGTGGTTCAAAATAGATTTCCTCCATTTTTGGCACCGATTTTTAACTCAAATATGGAATGTTTTATTTTCCAGTATTCGATTTTTAAATCACACGGCTGTTTCTCCTACTGAATTGCCATTTAGTATTTAGGGTTCTCATAGCTTTCGAACATATTATTTATCATTTATTGTAATATATTTGTCTAACATTTGGTTCAATAATACTTTCAAAATGTATCACAATTATTCTTTGGTTCCTGATCAGATTCAAATCAAATTTCCTCCTTAACTAAATTATACAACTCAATACCATCGAGTTCCAGTTCGAGTTCAAATCGTTCAGCAATATTACCATTGTGTGGTATATGCATTAACCAATCAATATATTCATAGGGTATATCCGATTCCATAGCACCCTTTACCAAACTTTTTAAATATGTTGCCGATGGCAAACGATCCGAGGGTATTTCATTTATTGGTAAGGTATTTAAATTTGTATCCGGTTGTTCACACAAATGATATGCGCGGCATTCAATATTGCTATCCAATGTGGGGCAATACACGGAAACTGTAATGGGGGTGTAAATACCCTGATGGACACCTTCTTGGCTGTAGAGAAAATTAAAAATATAATCATTTATTTGTTGTATTTTTTATATTAAGAAATTGTTTTTACTTATCCAAATGTTCCATGTCGCTCTCATCTAGTTCCCATATGGCACCCCAAACATATTCGCCCTTGTTGGGTACAATTGTGGCACAGGCACCATACCAGCGATCCGTTGTCAAATTAAAATCCAAACGGAAATTCTAAAATTAAAATATATATTAGTTTAATTTTATTAAGGAATTTCCCTAAAAACTCACCTCCAATTTCCCTGGTCCTATCCTCACAGCCGTGGGATTTTGTAAATGCAACCGTTTGGCCAGTAAATTACTACCGAATCCAAAATAATAAAACTTTGCAGCCATGTTGCGGATTGTTGTCTTAACTAAAATTATTAAACAACAAAGTTTATTTTATTTGTATAAAAGCTTTTATGGAAGCTTTTTTACCACAGCTGTTGGCTAGTATTAATTTTATTTGTTGTTTTCTTATTATAAAAAATAACAGCTGTGTAATTTACGTAAATAATAATTGTGATTATTTTCATATCAACGAAAGCAACAAAAACCCCACAACTGGGTAAACAAATTTTGCCGGGCGGCAGATTTTTATTGGCAGTCGAGAACTTACTACTGAAAAGTGCACTATTTAAATAGAAAAAATATTTGTTTTTGTTTAAATTAAATTAAAATTAAATTTTTTATTGTTGATTATTTTTTATTTGTACGAAAAATTAATTATATGAAATTAATAGTACGAAAAATAATTATATATAAGTTTTTACATTTGTTGTACATATTTTCTATTTTTATTTTTAACAAACACTTTAATTAACTATTTACTCACACAACTTCTAGGTCACACCTCAAAATGTTTTGCTTGCAAATAAACTGTCTGACTGTTTGACTGTATGACTTTTGAACGCTAATTAACTGTTTCTGTTTGGTTGAACCAAGCCACCCGCCGCACCACAAACAGAAACGATAAGCGATGATAGATCTGTGAAAAAAATGTGTTGTCAACTGTTTTAGATTGTCAAAATTTTTGTGCGGCGAACTGCACTTACCGCTTCTGCTGAATGAAGACGACTGCAGCGATTAAATGAGAAATTGCAGACAAAAATTTCATAGATAAAAATATTTCATATCAGTTTAATTTTCATTAATTGTTTTATAAATAACACTATGACACAAAATCTGGGCCTTGATATAAAATCTAGGGCATTTTTCTTCAGAAAGGTAGTTTCCAATTTATTTGGAAAAACGTGCGAAATTTGATAAAACATAGCAAATTTGCTGTATATAATCAAACTAAAGATCATTTTTTACAATAAAATATCGAGTTTACAAAAATCGTATCTTTCGTAGAAAAATTTTGTCTTTGACTAAATACTTCTAAGATTGAAGATTTTGACATATTTACGCAAGGTGTTTAATTAACAAAGAGTTTGTTGCCAATGTTGTTAATTTTATACTGTGCATTTCTAGTAAAATATTGAATTTAAATATATAGATTGTTCTGAAACTCTTAGTGAAATTTGACGTAAACTATTTTATTCTTTGACCTTATGCCCGAAAAATGAAGTTTCATGTTACTTTTATACAATTTGTTGAAAATAGTACTGGAAAATTTCTATCAAACAAAATGTTATTTTTTTTATTTTCTGTCCTTTTTGACGTCTAGTGGCGGAAACCCGTACAAACTCGGAAAAAGCTCGGTTTTAACTCTGAAAATAAGAAAATAAATAAACAAGTAAAACATTATGGCGAACCTTTTTGTATAATATTCTGACCTGCTATGATGACATGATTTTCGAGTTTTTATTACTTCTGAGACTGACCTATTCTATTCTATTCTGACCTTATATAACCACATTTAAAATGAGTTTTCAATAATTTCTTAAAAATGTGACGGAAACCCCTCCAGAGTCTCGACACAAACATATTCCTAGCATTAATATAAGTAATATTACCAAAGACACCATATACCTAAAATGGAAAGGTTTTTAGAAATGTTAATCCGAATATTTCGAAATGTCTTAGAAATGGGAAATTTAGCCACGTCTTTTTAGATTACCTCCCGATGTAAACTTTCAAAATGCCGATACACGTGTCTTCTTTTTTTAACCAATCATAATTTTTTTGATTTTTCCGATAATTATTGTACAGCGTATAGAATATTATAGAAATTTAAAATCTCATTCTTTTTCAAAATTTGTTTCGGAGTACCCTGTTGTAGCATATATTACGGATTAGCCAAAAGGCGTTGCCAATTATCTTGAACTTTAATGAATATAAAATTGGCTTATCCACTACGTAAATATTTCTAGTTGGCAATTCATGTTTCGTCATAGACACAAACCCTAACGATTTATGTTTCAGATAAGTAAAATGTAGATAATTCATATGTTGCCACATGTTTCATCAGGTAGAGACAATCACAGCAAAGTCTTTACTGAGGTTGTTGGATTGGATAAAAACATGTGGAATATTTACAATGTACAAGTATAGACTTCAACCAAGCTTAGTTACTTTCTTATTATACTACAGGGTGTTTTATATAAAATTGGGCTATGATTTGGAAGAAAGGACGATTTATGTTTCAGATAAGTAAAATGTAGATAATTCATATGTTGCCACATGTTTCATAATTAAGTAACAGTTAATTTAATACATGTTTCACGAGGTTGTTGGATTGGCTAAAAGCTTGTGGATTGGTGACGAAGTACGTACTACAGACTTGAACCTATTTAGTTCTTTTTTAACAGGGTGGCGCATGTTATAAAATTGGGCTATGATTTAGAAGACAAAAAAATTGCCGTTAGTAAATGGGTTTCTGGTCGGCATACTCCGTTGTGGAACTTAGAAAAAGTTGAAAAGTTTTAATCGACGGGAAAATGTTAATATAACAATCTTTCTCTCCAGTGAATCTGAAAACTTATAAGAATTTCCATTTAATACACTGCTGATCAAACATGGGAGCATGTTATCCTTATTAGACACTTCTCAATTACTATCACTCACTTATATTTTTGAGCAGCATTGAATGTAAATTAAAAAATCGAATAAGAAAGAAAAAAGGTTTCCAATTAGTTTAAAAACTTATTTTACAATCAAAAGTGAAAAGTGTTTTTTACCTTTTCTCAAAACCAAAGGGGCAAGGATATTAGTTCAAAAATATGTCACACCTGGTATATAATCTCCATATATAAATTCGATTGAATCGTACTTAATCGTTGAGTTATTTTATTTTTTTTGCAGTAGTGTGTTCCCTTCTATGAAAAACAATCCCTGTTGCCATAACTAGTAATTAAGTGACCATCTTACCTTACCCCACATCCGAAGAAAATTGTTAATAATGTGCATAATACATTTCCCCGACTTTATCCTTTACAAAAATTTCCTCTCGAAAACAGTCAGAGACAAAACAATGCACAAAACACAACAACAACCAACAATTTTCTCTGTTTTTTGCTCTCTTCACATCAATTAAATTGTAATTTACTTGTCTTACTTACTTTGCGCAAAAAAAAAATAAAATTTCAAACTTGGACCTCAAGGTATCTTTAGTCTTGGCCATCACACAGCGCAAGAATAACTTTTTGGAACAAAGTTTTTCGAAATGTTTTTCTTCGCTGCATACAAATGCTTATTAATTTAAATTTAGCACTATGACCATAAGACGATGAGAAGTTTTTTTTCATGAAATGCAATGTTGACTTTTGTTACTCTTGAGAGAAAAAAGGGAGTGAGGCGAAAACTTACTTTTCATAATTTTTATGTTTGAAGTGCATTTTCAAAGAAAAAAAAATATCGACAAGTAGCCAAGTGTTAATTTTCTTTAGAGTTTAAGTAGAAGATATAGTTTTTCATGCCAACTAAAGTTCGAGTTTGTATTGTAACATCTTAACAACTCCCTGGAGGTAGGGGGGGTTTGTACAGGAAAAAGTTTAAACTTTGATGTTACTTTTCGCTCTCCTCCATTACGTAAAGAAAACATTTCTATGCATTTGACCTGTGCGTCCAAGAAGTAAATATTGGCACGTTAAAACATGCCAAAGTGTTGTATATAATGCATTTGGTTGTAATAAAAATGTTGAAATGTTGCTAAAATGTAATTTTGTATAGTCACTTGAATAAGAAAACTTTTAACATGTTTCCACAAATATGTGTTTGACATTTGGTTTTACACACACAATGCCAGAAATACCAAAGAAATGTTAATACTCGTAGAACTTCCGGCGACTTTGAAATGTATTGGAATTTTTATAAATGTTACTTTAGATACTATGATGCAAAAATATCACAAGGGGTTGGAAATTGATCAGATTGTACGACAAAAAAGGCAAAAGGTCTTTAAGTTCCTATACCATGAGGTGGCATTCTAAAATCCCAAAATCGATCAAAACTTTCAATACTACAATATTCAAACTAAATAGCTCCTAACGTGTGGGTAGAAAATGTTTTCTACATGTCCATCTGTCAATTATAATTTTTTTCATTAGCTAAATGTTAATATCCTCATTATTTTAATCGTCACCATTTTTATTTCCAATTCTGTCAAATCTCTTACATTGAATTATAAATCCCTAATTAATAAATTATCATTTTCCCAGTATTCTAATTACAATCTCTTAATATGCAAATGCAAATAGAACTGATTCACTCTCGATCTTTGCAATTCTAATTCTCTCTCAATCTAGTATGAAACGGTATCATTGTTCTCTTAAGTACGTCTTATTGTTTTCTTCTTATGCTTCTTCTTCAATAATGGAGTTAGTTGCCGGTAGTCATTAAAGTCGTACGCATTGTTTACTTGGGCTGCATCTTTTTTGTGTTATTAAGTGCTATTATTAAATAAAAAATACAATAAGAATACATTAATATATTATAGTGTGTTAGTTCTTTTAAAATATATAATTTTCATATGTTAAAAAGTGAAGTGAATGCAATTTGCAAAAAAAAAAATTGTGCGCGTCTGCCGTGTAAGAAAATAAAATGGAGCAACAACACAAAACAAATTGCATTACTCCCAAAGAGAGGGAGGGAGAGAGAGTGATTGGCCCACAAAAAGAAAATAACAAAAGTGTTAAGAATAATAAAAACAAATGAACAAGCAATGCATTGTTGGCAATGAAATGGAACGAATAGAAATTCAAATAGAAGTGATCTCAGTTTTGGCAGAAGAAGAAGAACAACAACAAACTCCATTGTGAGAGGTGAGTTACACATTAATGTTTTTCGGTTAACTCTTAAGCGGACAACTTATTTCCTGTGATTAGATTTTTAGCTTTCAAATTATAGACATATAATTTTAATGGTTTCATTAAAACCGGTACTAAAATCATTTTTTTATCATCGAATCT